TATTCATTTTATTGACTTATTTGGCAGGCTGTAATGTTTAAGTTGCATTACATCATCCCATTTGTTTATTCTTTGAAGCAGGAGGAGTCAGAGTCCAGTCAAGTGCATTAGGCCCAGTGCTCTTGGTCCTGTTAAAAGAAAAGGTAAGTGTCGTACTTTTGATATTAAACCTAGCTGAACTTGAATTACAAATTAGAATATTTGTTTGAAATTACTTCAAGGCATGAATCCTTTTTCCTAAAGAGATGTGGATTATTCTTCCCAATGCATGCTTTACTGATACTAAATTTTGTAAATTAGTTATTTGATACCGTCTATATTTTTATACTTCATAACTGAATCTTATTCATATATTCATATTATCAATATATATTCCAAAAATTTTGCCTCTCAGTAATCTGAATATAAAAGAGTTGCAAGTTGGTATGTTGCAGAAATATATGCTTATGTCATAGCAAATAGGTCAATAAACATGCTGTATGCTCAAATAAAAGCCACCACCAAATTACACTTTGGTGAAGAAAGAATTGCCTCATATTCAAGTCTATAGGGTTTTTGGTATAATGGGAGTGCTCTTGATTACCTTATTTTGAACCACAAAGCACTAAACTAAAATGATCTCACTCAACTCTAGTTTTAGCTGCTTATGGAAGACACCTGATAGAATCTATTTTTAAAAAGGCAAATTTAATACAGTTTTAGTCCTTATTCCTGGGGATATGACCACACGATTCCAAGGGTTGGATGTCATTTTAAACAAGAGTTTTAGCAATAATTTTAAAAAAGCAATTCAGTAAGTGGTTTCTTTGTACAGATCACCTTCAGGGCCAGTAAACAAATCAACTTTCCTCATGTTAGGTAAATGGATACTTGTGGGCTTTGGTGAAAATTTTCCAGTGATTCAGAAAGTGCTATATTTCGGACAACTTAAAATTAAAGATGGTGTGCTCTGGAAAATAGATCCTGATACAGTGACAATATTTGTATTTAGCGAATAAATTTTATTTTATAAACCATTAGTCTTTTTTCAATTCTCTTTAAGGAATTATTTACAATCCTAAGAACCTTCTCAAGAGCTACTATGTGAAAGTAACACGTGGAAATTAAAACTTATTATTATCGTCATTACTATGAATTTTAAATTTGTTACAGGCAATTGGTAGAATTAGTATGGTTGTTTAGTTTCAAAGCTATTCCAAAATATACCAGCAGATGGAGGGATTCTTTGCTAAAAAGGGCTGAAGTGTTTTGCTAAAGAGGTATTGTTGAAAGCCCCCTAGCAGCTTTTAAAAGCTGCATATTAAAGTATGGAAAAAGCAAATAAAAATATAACCTTTCCTGAATTTTAGTAATATTCATAATAGCTCAAGAAGAAAGATAATATGAATTAATTGCTAATATGGAAAAAATGTATGTTTTATTTGATTTTGCTTGATCTTTTTCCATCTTGCGAATTTTGTACATGTTTAAGTTCACAGTTACTAATTACCTACTGGAGTATAGTTGGGACCACGACTTAAGTTTTCTTTAATATTCCATTTTATAGCTCAGATAAAGAGCTTCAAAACCAAGGTGTGTGCATGTTTTAAATCATAGCTTACTTGGAAAGGAGATTTTTCTGTTTAACTTAGGGTTGTCTCTTTACTCCTGGCGAACAATATTAAGCATTATTCCTTTAATACAAAGTTTTTCTATTACCAGTTCTGAGAAAATCTATAGGATTGAGGTAGCCTGTACAGTACCAGTTTGGTGATTTGTTTAATAATTGCTTTCAGTTATGGATGTGCTTTCAAACTTACAGTCACGTGTCCCTTAACAACAGAGGTATGTTCAGAGAAATTCATTGTCAGGCAATTTTGCCATTGTCCGAACATCATAAAGTACACTTACACAAACCTGAATTGTACTGCCTACTACACACCTAGGCTATGTGGTACAGCCTGTTGCTCCTAGGTTACAAATCTGTACAGCATGTTACTCTATGAAACAACATGAAAGCAAATCAAGCACAAGAGAAAATGATGCAATCAAGAGACATGGAAACTGTGAGACATATGAGGCTGCTGCCAGCGTAATATAGCATGCTGTTTTACAGCAAATGTGTTTTTAAAATAAATCGAAAGAGTAGACTCTAAAATAATAATAAAAAGTATACTAAATACATAAACCAGTAACATAGTCATTTATTGTCATTATCATGTACTGTTCATAATTGTATGTGCTATACTTTTATACGACTGGCAGTGCAATGGGTTTGTTGACACCAGCATCACCACAAATGTGAGGAATGTGCTGTGACCTCACTAGGTGATAGGAATTTTCCAGCTCCATTATAATCTTTAGAACCACCTTCACATATGTGTCCCGTCATTGACCTAAGTGTTATCGTTATGTGGCTCATGACTGTATTTTTAATCTTCATTTTCACTCTGTAGCCTAAAGCAACCTTTGATTTTATACAGTCTTCAACAGGCTGAATACTTTTTAACCATTTGACTTCAACTCAGGAAATGTTCTGATATTAAAATATATAAAATCAATTGTCTTTACTAAATCATCTGCATAAATTATTATTCACTGTGAGTTTCAGCTGTTCAGAAATACTTTATTTCTACTGTGGTTAGCCTTGATTTATTTTGCCTGATGCATTCAGTGTTCTACTCTTCTATTAAAGAACATAACTGCTATATATAATAAATGAGAAGGCTTTTTTTTTTTTTTAGGATTGCTGACTTTTTGGGTGAGGTTATGTGGAAGTATAATTCTTCTACGTTAAAGCATATTGAAAAATACCTTTCGGGTAATAGCTTAAAGTAGTATTCTGAGCTCTGGTTAAACAAAGATGACCCCATTTTAGCACTAAGTCTGTAAAACTGTTTTACTGTAGCATCATCTCTTTCTGTTTTAGGTGAAATGGAGACTGAAAGCCAGCCCAAGAGGCTCTTCCAAGGCACTACCAATATGCTGTCTCCAGAGGCTGCACAATTATCTGATCTCAGTTCATGGTAAAAATAAATAAATAAATAAAATCAAAAGGATATTAGGGTATGATCTATTTAAAAAGAACTACATCAAAAGCATACTGTGCTCATTTAAAAGATATTCAACTTTTTATCCATGCTCCAAAGAAGGGAAATCTCCATGGAGTTGTAGGTAATGTGAAAAAGCAGATCATTTGAAAGTCATGAGTACTTCCTTGGAAATGTGTATCATTTTTGGCACCTTTACCTTCATGCCTAGCTCCTGTTAGGTTAGCCTCTCTTGTAGGTGCTAATAATGGTGTGGGAGAGTGTAAACAGCTGGGTGGTGTGAAAAAGAGTTTCTTGGTTGTTCTGGATAACGGTGTACTGATTACAGCTGCTCTGCCTGCGTTTTGTACTTTATCCTTTTTTTTTACAATTAAATTTCAATTGAAATTGGCATTCAGTATTTTATATTAGTTTCAGGTGTACAGCATAGTGGTTAGACATTTATAAAATTTATGAAGTGATCCTCTCAATTAGTCTGGTACCCACCGGGCACCATACATAATTATTACAGTATTATTGACTCTCTTCCCTATGCTGTACTCTATCTCCCTGTGACTATTTTGTACTTCTTAATCTCTTGTCTTAGCAGATGCCAGCATTCTCTTCAACATGGCCTTTTCTACATAGCATTATCTATTGTTATAAAATATTTTTGAAAGTTTTGGGGTATTTCGTCACAATGCTAACTAAGATTTCATTTTTATAGTAACACTTCCTGATTCTCTTACTCATTCTAGTTTAGGTGTCTAACTTAAGGCCCTTAAGTGTTTTTGTGCTAAAGTTAACTTATTTTCCTGTACCTGAAGTTGAGCACTGGGTACTGATTGGAAAGAAGAGAAGGATTAATAGCAGGTAATAATTTGAAAATTTTAAATACATTCTGATCAACTCACTGAGCACCCATGTTCTAGACACGATTGTGTATTGCCTTTTAGAACTTTCTGTTCCCTGAGTTTTATGGCTGAGTGTCTTTTTTAAGAGCCCATCCTTTACAAGGATGGTGTCCTCTAAATGGAAGAATTGTGTATATTAATCCTTATAAGGTGTAAAGATTAGATTCTTTTTCAAGTCACATATTCCATGTTTTATGGAAGATAACCTATATTTCTAGTCAGGTTATTCTAGTTTATTAGACTTGTTGATCACTACTGTTCTAGCCTTGGAACAGATGCTTTTTAGATTGTTCTAGCTATTTTCAGCCCCACAGTCTTTCTTCTCTCTCATTTCTGTCTGTCCTTGGTAGCTCAGTGAGCTAATTTTGGTTTAGAGTGCCTTTCCAGGTATGTGGATGATTGCAAAGAGAAAACTTCTAAAGCTTGTCAGGAGGGCTAGTGGATGAAACTCTATACTTAATGGAAACTACATATCGCTTTTATGGTAAAGTGTGTTTTAATATAGGTACGCAGCATTATAAATAGATTTGCTTACCCAGTTACTAACTAAGTAACCAAGTTAAGTAAAAGACGTGAAAGAATTTTGCCAAGCTAAAAACATACACACAGGGTGAGGTAATTTAAAAAAATATATTGTTATAGGCTGACTGAGCAGGATGCCATAAAATAGATTTGTGCAAATAAATAAGGAAAGAGAAGGCAGGGTATTTACCAAGAGTCTGCTCTCCTTGTTCAGATGTTTATTCCTCTGAACAGCACAACCTAAGCTATCGACAATGGTGGCTGTTGTGAGGTTTCTATTTCTGTTGCCACTATTCCCATTCTTTGAAGACCTGTGGCTATGACAGTCCTAGGAACATTGGTGATGGAAGGTACTTTTAATTCATAAACACAAAAAGTTTTCCCTCACACTGGAGAGTGGTAACAAGCCAACGTATGACTCAAATAATACGTTAAAAGGAAATTTATTACTCACAAAACTAAGTGTCAAAAATATTTAAGTAATTAAAAATTTGATTTATATTTTTAGTAGGTTTGTAGCATCTGGACTTCTGAGGATATTAAAGCTTACTGTTGCACTAAGATTTTTGGGACACCTCGTATACTAATATTGCTGACATGTATGGCTACAACTAAGAAGTTTTAAATAGAAGTTATTCCTGACATGTAATAGTTTGATCTTACTTTTGCAGAAACTTTTTTCTATCTCTTTAATGCTTTTTTCATTGATCAGACATCCATATTATTAGAAATGGGGACTAAGACAGGAAGTAGCTGTGTTCTGGCTTTTGTTACCAAAGATAGCAATCTACTTGATAACAAAACTAAGGAAACCATTTTTATACCTTTTGGGGAGTAGAAAAAATATCAGATCATTAGTAGATGTTATCTCAACATTTAAATTGCTATAGTTTGTTCCCTGCCCTACCCTGCAAAGAAAAGATGGGCTTTAACACTTTAAAGTTTATATACTAGATAGTAATCTTTAAAATCTGACATCTTTGAAGTTCAAATTAAATGTGAAGTCTGAGGATAGACCCATTTGGAATTGTGTCCAGAGTGCCAACTGCTGCTCAAAGAAATAGGCCTACTCTTTATATCATATTTTTTACTAAATGAAAATTCTGAAATCTCTGCCAACCAAACTTGGGGAACATTGTCACCACGAGGCAGGAATTATGTCATTCTGCATTTAGTCCTTGTGAACTTCAAGAGTTTTATCACAGCTTGGAAGTACACCTTTGCATGGTGCTTTGATTGTTTTAGTATGTTGAAAACTCTTGTTCTGTTCCTCATTCTTTTGGGAATCTGTGGCATGAAAATAAAGAAATTTTCAGGGCTGCTCGTCATGTACTGAAGATTAAATAATAGTCTATTTCTCCTATAGAAAAGGAAAAAGTCTTCTATGAGTTTTCTTGCCCGGTGCATCAGTGTTAACTTGACTGCTAATTTATGGTTTTAACATTTATGGTTTTAACATTTTTTGTTAGATTTATCTTAGTGATTTTAATATTATTTTTAATGTTAAATGTGTCATGGCAAGAAAATTTCATACTGAATATGCGACATTTACAAAAATTAGATTTAATCATGATTAATAATAGAAATGTATGTATATATATATACATATATATAATATGTGTGTGTGTGTGTGTGTGTGTGTGTGTGTGTATCTCGAAGATGTTTATGTGAGCAGCTTAGATATCTGCAGATACTTTTAATCTCTAGTCCCCAATGTAACTGCGGAAATGATCATATTTAAACGTGTAGTTTTTAAAACTTAGAGGTTATATGGGAAGATAATGTTGGGACTTCGTAAGATAAAATAGTAGAGGCTAGAGAACATGTCCTATGGACCAGTTTAACCCACATCAAGGCATAGGGGATGATGCTCCATAGTCTTACCTTATACCAAAATCTGCTGGGCCTGATAGGGCTGTGGCTAATTTCTAGTGCATTTACCCGCCTGCCATTAATCTGAGAAAACCCAGTTTATTGGCTGGACAAGGCACAAAGTGGCTCAGCCAAGATGGGGTGAGAGCACTAGTCACACTGGGCATCCTAGTTTTGTTGTTACTTTATCATTTGAATGTTTTAATTCTCTTGCACTTTCACCTTTAGTTTTTTTTTAGACAGAGGACACTGCTTTACCAGTCATAAGTATTTTTGGTTGTGTGGTTCAAATATTGCCTCAAAATATATATTCAGTGGCTAGAATGAATTAGTTTATTTTTGATTCATGTATTTCTATTTCCAATTTGGATTGTCTAGGTTCTTTGCTTTCTTACCACTATCTGGCTTTTGGCCATTAGTCTAAGGCTCATTAACACCTCCATTAGAGCTTAAGCTAGGAAAGAGAGAAACTCAAATTAGACTATACTTTGTTGCTTTTAGAAGATTTAATAGCAGGCACTGAAAATCACTTTTGTTCAGTAATCTCTCTATGGATTAAAATATCATCTAAGTCTTGCTTTATGCAGACGTACTAACAGTGGGTAATTGGTGACCTGTAATCTGTGCTTCCATGACATGAGTAGTAGTGCCAGATTAATTAGCACAGAAACTAGATTTTAGTTTAGTGAGAATATCTGGTTAAAGGTTTACTAAGTATGAAATGACATGTTCAGATTTATATATTTTTTCTTGGTAGCTTCCCATTAGCTTATTTCTCTCAAGATAATCAACAGTATTAGATGATAGATTTCTGTGCATGAGTTATGTTCTATGTTTTTGAATGAATACAGAAGTCACCTAAGAAAGCAGATCTTATTACAAATGGAATCTTTTAACCCAGATCTCACCATAAGTCTGGTTGTGGGAATAAGAAAGTTTTTATTTATATTCAGATTATCTGCTTGGTGGCCAAATTTTAATCCAAGCCCGTTTCTTCCTGCCAGGTAGCATAGAGCATATACTTTGGCTGCCCAGTCAATATGTACTTTAGGAAAGGAAATTCATTTTAATATCAGTCTAGGCAAAATGCTGCAGGAGGAAAAAAAAAATCACAGATGTTCCAAAGCAAATATAAAGGTCTTTTGATTTTCCAACATCTTAGATTATCTATGCAACTCTCATTCAGTAGTTTGAATAATTCATATTTTAGACCCATTTGCCTTTTGGTTGAAAAAATATCAGAGCCAGCTAAATTTTCCAAACTTCTTTCTTAAAAGTGGTATTATTAATGATGCATTTGACAGCAGTGAGCATAAAGCAGGAATACTGTGGAGTATATTGTTTCCATTTTTATTTTTACTTTTCTGAAGCCTATTTGTATTCTGTCTCCACCTAAAAACAGTCCAGAGGCAATAGAATGAAATGACATTTTGAAGAAAAATAGAGTAGAGGAGCAGCAGGGGAAAAATTACATTTCATTGAGGGTAGTATAGGGCCCAGAAACTTCCAAATGTACCACAAGTTGCTCAACACTAGAAATATATTTACTTAGAAATTCATAAAAATGATAATATTAAAGACTCAAAATATTTAGCCTTAGAGCACATTAGATCAGGATGGGCTTTTGCAAAGGAGCTAGTGATCAAACTTAAACTAGAACCCATGTTTCCTGATTCATGATTTCTTCTCCAATTCCGTGCTTTGTTTCCTTTTCAAAAATAAAAAGTATGTGTATGTAAATCCTAAAACTGCCTGACTACCTCTCTAGCTTTGTCTCTCATCGTGTTCTCCTTACTCTGTTCTACAGCCACACTAGCCTGCTTTTGGCTTCTAGAACTACCCTTGCTTCCTCCCAAAGCTTACCTAGTTCATGCCTACTCATCTTTCAGATGACAGCTCAAATATCAGTTTTGGAGAGCCTTATTCCTCCCTGTTCCTCCAAATCAGATCAGATTGCCCATGTTACATACTCTCAGAGCCCCTTGTATCTTTCCTTTATTGCTTTGATCACAGATTATAATTCTGTATTTATTAGCATAATTATTTCAGTGTCTGTCTCCTGCACTCTCCTGTAAATTCAATAAGGGCAGAGACCACGTCTGTCTTATATATACCATTGTTTTAGCATACTTCCTGAACTTGGCAGGAACTCAGTAATATTGAAATAAGTGAAAAGAGTGAATTTGGCCCAAATATAGAGCATAGAGCTTATATGTTGGCTCGATGGGAATCAAAGCCAGAAAGGCAGCCTGGTGCTAAATTGTGAAGGCTCTTGATTGGAAATGCTGAAGTATGAGGCCAGAGTTATGAGGCAGGCCAGAATGGTTATTGTGAGCCATGAGGCCCTGAGCTGGGCTGTAGAGGCTCTTGGGGCCCAGATCAGGAGTTTTAGTGGAAGGGTAAGAGCAGAAGCCAGTTGTCAGGATTAAAGAGGTGAATGGACTGTGAGTGTATTGGATCGGTGGATATAGAGCATTTATTTTAGAAGCTTAACTGGAAGTAATGAAAGGGATCAAACAAAGACATCTTTTAGAGATGGTGGGGAGACCTTAGGGTTTTTAAAGCGAGAGGAAAGGAAACAGCGTAAGAAATTCATAAAATGAGAAGACTTTAAAAGGCAAATAATGGAGGAAATTATGAAAAAAAATGTGTTTCATTTGAAGGCCTCTTGGGAGTGGGGAAGTGATAAAACTGTGGGGCAGTTGAAAGACTTGGTTCTGGGCTACAGGAACCATGAAGCAATGTACTTGATAGAATACTTCAGACAGTCCAGAGTAGGTACCTCAACAAGTAACCATTCCTTTTACTCTAAGGCTGATGGGAAGGTAAGAAGATAAATAGAAGGATATAAATCTCTTGAGCTGAAGGTAAGGGATCTCCCTCACAAAAACCATGGGAGCGCTTATTATGTGTTGGACAATCTGGTGCCTCCAGAAGAGTACTCAAATGATACAGAACCTTGAGTGTCTTACTTTGGGTTTCCGTGACTTTGTCCTTTTGCGGGGGTATCTGAATATAGTACATGATGTAGTTCATTGCTGTTGCTTTTGTGCTTTTTATTTACAAATGCTTTACTGATTCATGAGTTTTTAAAACTATGCTGTTGCATGTTATGTTTACCTTTACCCTGATAGATGCATCTGCTTATAATTCTTTTTGCTTTGTCCTCAGTTCAGATATTTTGGATGGCAGTAGTAGCAGCAGTAGCAGCAGTGGCTTATCCTCAGACTCACTGGCTAAAGGCAGCACAACCGCAGAGTCTCCAGTAGCATGCTCCAATTCATGCCCTCCGTTCATCTTGATGGATGATCTCTCACCCAAGTGACTTACCCATTTCTGATTCAGTGTTTTAACTGCTGTTTCTTACATAAAACGTTCAGTGAGGAACGCAGAGAACTTTGATCCATAGTGAGGATTAAAGTGTTACAAATTTAAACCATTTTGACGCCATTCTTTTTTGGCATCTCTCTTCTCTAAAGTTCAATTTTACTAGTGTAATGACCTTACTTATGTCTCTTTGCTGATGTCATTTTGGATCTAGTGACTAAATCTCAAATATTCATTTTTGATTGCTTACAGTCTATATTTTCTCAGTGCCTCAAAGAGCACCCATTTTAGAGTATATGTTTAAAGAAAGCACTGATGTATTTTTGATAATGGTTCTTTTTCCCAGCAGTGATATGAGAGCTACAGTTGATCAGAAATTCTCTTGCTTGAGAGATTTTTTTTGTCCTCCGTTGACTACATAGTTTCAGATCTTTTTCTTTCACAATAATAGGTGAATTGCTTTTGATTGTATTAAATTTTTATTTTTCTCCATCAGCTTAAAGTATATTATTTTGTTTCCCTTTTCTGTTTGAGCTGCTTACTTGCCATTTCTCACAGAGCGGAAGAAACACGTAGTTGCTTTCATTACTACCCATGTTGCTTCTTAGCTGTTGGACTGTGTGAGGATTGGTTTTAGTGCTGAGAATGTAAACGGACTTTAAAGGATGCTTGTAGTAGTCACCATAGGTTCTTATGTATGACTTAGCTACCACAATTGATATTTTTCTGCCTAAAGCTATTCCCTTAAGGAGTATATAAAATATTGTTAATGTTTCTAGGTGGTGTTATCAAGGAGAAGAAATTCCTGCGTTGACCAGATGTGTGGAGCATCTACAAATGAATGAATAATGTTATTTACACACAAACCACTGTGTAGAAAAGCATACATGGAGCTTGACAGCTTGTCTTGGGTGGTATTATGAGGCCTGAGGTGCCTTGGGGTACAGTGCTGTGCTGTAAAGAAATATATCATAAGGTAGGGTAGAAAAGGGAGCTTTATGTGTCTGATTGCCACATACTATCTCGATTGCCGCTTTTTTCTGATTACTTTTTTTGTCATTGGATTCATTTGTTGTGTGGTGAGTGGTGCTGCTGACTGTGTTTTGGTCATTGTGTAGCCACCAGAATCAGAATCCAGTTCTTGTTCATGCTGCCTTATAGCAAGGGCAGTCTAATATCTACAAGGAAGCTTTTAGGAGCTGAAAAAGTCAGTGTCGTTGTGCATTCTGCTTTTAAGAAGCTGCTTGAGCTGTGAACAATGTACGTGATAGTAAGTCCGAGGTACCAAAACTTATTTAATTATGAAAAGAGGGAAATTCTGAATGGAGCTATTTGAAAAACCTGAGTATAGTCTATTGCCGTGTTATTTATTATTTAAAACTAAAAAATGTCTGTCATGATAGATTTCTTTTAATGTTCAAATATCGTGGATGAATTATCTGTATTTAATATGCAAATTTGCCTTCTAGGATCATAATCCATTTTTCAGTGAATGTAAGAAATGAAAACTACTGCGTTTGTATCTTTTGAAGGCAAAGATCCTTGAATCTTAAAGGAAGATGTTGCACTTTGCGGGTACTCACAAACTAGTAATACTCTATGGCTCGAAGGGAAACCTGTTCTCTTTGAATTGTAAGAGAGCATCACTTGGCAGTAAGTTGTTTTCTTACAGCATCAGATGTGTTGCTTATTTTAAACTGTAGTAACCACCATACTGGCCATTAATGGCTTTCTCATAATTGCTTTCACCTGTGCAAAGTCCATAATCCTTCAAACCTAACATAAATGTGTATATTATGAAGATTCTTCCCTTGTATGCCATTTCAAAGCAACATTACTTCAGTGTTATTCAGTGTTTATTCTGTTTGTAAAGAACCATGTTAAGCTGTTTCTGCCTATATAATACCAAGAGATGGTTTTATCTTACAGGATGTTTATCCACCCTCACTCTACTGTCGTTTTGCCTTAAAGGGACACTTTTGGCCATCATTTTTGGGGCTCTAATTTAGAACTTTTAAGAAATAACCTTTGGAATGTGATAATATTTATTTTTGGAATTCTATAGTGAGGGAGAATTGGGACAAGAAAATGAAATTGTTCCAATGGGAACTAGGAGGCAAGACGATTCACTTTATTATTTAAACCAAGTTTTGTCTTTATTGTTTAAATTGACTAGAAAGTTAAGTTTGTGCAGGGATTGTTTTGAAATAAATAAAAGAGATGCTAACCTTCAGATGAGCTTGGTTGACAGTACCCCTTTATTTTTATATAAAGTTTAATATTTGAAAAGCGATAGTTGTTATAAATTAAAATTCTTCCTAGTCTAATATTATATCATATTTCAGGCTTCTATTTGAAAGATGATATGATAAGAAAATCCTATAGATGCTCTTTTTGCTTGACTGACTTATATAATCACTGTATTTCATGAAAACTGCTTTTGGAATAATAGGAAATTTTGTGAAATGCTGACTTTGTGTATATCTTAGAATGCAAATTTAATAAAGTGTGTACACATGTATAAAATTCTGTTAATTTTTCAAAGTCTATTTCTTTTTTCTTATTAATAATGATTTTTCTGCCTCCATAGCCCAGTATTACATTCTCTGTGTCTAATCGTAGTCAAGTTTTGAATGAAAGGGTATCAGGAACACGAAAGAACTAATAGCTGTATTGAAGTTTGGGCTGTTTCTCAAAACAGATCAACTTCTCCTGATAATCTGTCAAATTTTCAAGAGCAGTTTGTAAAATTTGACAGCTTAGAAGGTTCTTGCCAAGACCATACATATTTCTTACTTGTTTTCAATTTATGTTGTTTTTTTTTTTTACATATTCATAAGACTAAATTGTTTTTAGAAGAAAGGAAAAAATAAAGGCCTTTTATGCATGAGGTTACAGACACTCAGTTTTCTTTTCAGTATTTTAAAAATCTGTGGACTATTTTATTTTATGCTTCCAGATAAGTTGTGAGAGTAGCCCAAAGAACTCGCACATATCCTTCACCCAGGTTCCTCAATTGTTGACATTTAAGCATATTTGCTTTATCTGTCTCTCTCATGTATGTGTGTGTATGTGTGTATTTTTGTATGTGTATATATGTATGTACACACATTTTTTTTCTGAACCATCTAAGTTACATGATACTCCATTATCCTTAAATGCTTCGATGAAAATTTCCTGAAGGCTTGGACAGTCTGCATCACCATATTACAACTGTCAAAATCAGGAAGTTAACTTTGATACTATTTAACCTACAGACCCCATTCAGATTTTGTCTGTGGTCCCAATAATACTCTTTTAGCAAAAAGGGAAAAAATCTTTTCTTCTGGCCCAGGATTCAATACGGGATCATGTGTTACACTTAGTCATTATTTGTCTGTAGTTTCCCTCAACCTGGAAGTCCCCCAGTCTTTGTCTTTTGTGACCTTCATATTTCTGAAAAATGCTGGCCAGTTATTTTGAAAAATGTTTTTTTTTTCAGATTTGACTGATGTCTTCTAGTTATTAAACTCAGGTTATTCATTTGGGGCAGAAATAGCACAGAAGTGATTCTGTGTTCTCATTGTATCATTGCAGGAGGCATTTGGCATCACCATCTTCTTACTGGTGATGGTAACCTTGATCCTTTGGTTAAGATGTTATCTACTGTGTTACTCTACTGAACAGTTAGTATTTCCCTTTGAAGTTAATAAAATATTTTGTTGAGATACTTTGAGAGTACATAACTATCCTCTTTCCAAATCAAACTTTTACTCACTAGTTTTAGTATCCACTGATCTTTCTTGCCCGATAGTATTATGATGGCTCCGTAATGGCGACTCTAATTCTATCATTTCTTCTACATGTATTAGTTAGCATTCTACTGTAAAGAAAAAATGTTCCTTCTCTGCCATTTATTTGCATCGGTGTGGACTCATGGACTCCTTTTTTAGTCAGTGGACTTTAGTCCATTACCATGATTATTTTGGTATTCACCTCTCAAATTTGGACAGTGAGAGCCCCTCCAAGCTGGCTCCTATGTCCTTTTGGACAAATCTCTATAATTTTTTGAGCGGTGTTTTACTTTCTGACAAGAAGTTCCAGTTTCATTCTTTCCTTGCCCCGGCCCCTGGGATCAGCCATTTCTCTAAGGAGCCCCAATTTCTTTTAATGGAGAATAGTATCTCGAAATCAAGGTATAGGCTAGGTACTAGGTATAATCATTGCCACTGGGGCCTCAGCACAGATGTACAGATCCACAGATGTTTATATCTGCTCATCTATTAAAATCATGAGTTCAAACTTATATCTCTGATTCCAGTTTAACCAGCACAAGGTTCATTCAGCATCTACCCTATCCATATTTATAACTCCATTCTCTGGTAGTTATAAACCAGGACAAACCTGGTTCCCTTTATCCTCAATATAATTGCTCATTTCTCCTATATGTAACCAATTTCTGACTCTGCCACCCTGGCTGCCTTGTCACCCACCACCGTCTCTGGCTCCAACCTGCATGCCCTTCCAGCCCCGCCAGCCCTGGCTGCTTCTAAAAAATATACTCAAGTTTTAAACACCCCTGGCGTATACCACCCCTGAGCTTCTCTTCCTGTTGAACTGTTCGCAGCTTAGAGATTTCTTATATTTATCAATTTTACAAGTATTTATTGAGCCCCTTGCAGGGAACTGTAAATGCCAATTAAGTTCATGCCTTCAAGAAGACCATCTCAGTGGAATAAATAGAAGTTCACTGACCATTAGAAACACTGATTCAAGTGAGTTGGGGGAGCACAAAGGGAGAGTACTCAACATAGGCTGTGCTATGCTTCTGGAATGCTTCCTAGAAAGGGTAACGCTGAAGCTAAATCTTGAAGAACAAACTTGGGATGGAGGTGGGTGTCAGGTAGAGGGAAATAGGATACATGCAAGAAGAGACCAAGGCACTATCACAGAAATACAAGTAATTTGCTAATTATGAGAAATAAGTTACCCGAATCGACTTTTAAAATGAGGCCAGAGAGAGAAACAGGCTACATTTGGTCTTTTCGGATTTGAGAGTCTTTAGTTTATGTAGATGGAAGCTATGGGTGTTTGTGGAAGCAGGAAGATTGTACCAAGGAGAGAGGTTAAGGACAAAATCCTGACAAGCATCAACATTTTAAAGGAGGTTGAAGGAGACCTGGGGTAGCAAAAAAAAAAAAAAAAAAAAAGAAAAATGGAAAAAAACAACTAGTAGTATCAGTGAAGCTAAGGAGGCAGTTGTCTCCAGGGTCACTAAAGATGACTGAAAACTGCCCATTGGACCTGATAATTAGGAGACTGCCTAGAGATTTTGTATGTGTACTTTTGGTGAGGTGGAAGGGGCAAAAGTTGGATTGCAGAGACAAGTAAACAAGGGTTTATTATCTCTTCTGACTAATGGAGTGGTTAAAGTTCCAAAGCTAAGATCCGAATGTAGCCTCGGAGAAAGAAGCTTCTACTTTGGGTCACTGAGGCCTGCCTACTTTGGACAAAGAGAATCTGTGCCCAAATTTTCTAACTTCCTCCTTTACTTCTTTCCCACCCGTTGCTCCATTACAATACAAAATCGTCCCCATTTTGTCCTCTGTATCCTCAGCAGCTAGCACTGTATCTGAAACATAATAATAATCACTCAGTAAGTTTTGTTGAATAACCTCAAACTCTAACCAATAGAGGGCACTGAAAGAAAATCACCAGGGAGTGTTAACCTATAGAATGAGCTGGAATAAAGCTGGGGAAGTGTTAACTACTCACTGCCCTCTAGGAGGAGCACCAAGCTTCTTGCCTCCCACACATTCCTGAGGAAAACTTGCACGAGGAGACTTCCACGTACAGGTAATATTTATTAATATATATGTAACTTGTACCTTCTGTTTGTGGCATGTGATACTGATTTTTCTTTTATGAGAGTGATATGTTTTCTGTTAAAACAAATTTAGCTGTTGAATTGTACACCTGAAACTTACTGGATTTCATTAACCAATGTCGCCATAATAAAAAAAATTAATAAAAACAAATTTAGCAAATAATATTTTTAAGTATATATATTTAAAAAATAAGTATAACAAGGAAAAAGTGAGTTCATTTAAGGAAACATCTTAAGCAAACTATAGTATATACATATGACCAAATTCTTCAAATTAAAACATAAATCAGAACTCAGATCCAGGAAAGTATTGGGACACAGTGGTGTGTGGAACTGTTGGTATAATAAAGAGGTTAAAAGCTGTTGAATCTGTGTGGAATGCTCTTTCAGGGTGCCTCTTTGGATTCTCTCTGGGATTCTGATTCTACTCTTCTATGAAGTGTGGTAAGAGAAGTCTGGTACCTCTCTTTTAGCTTTTGAGAAGACATCCCCCTACCACCTTGATGGTCAAAGGGGGAACTTGTTTGGGGCTCGAACAGGGAGCTAAAGAGCACTCCAGCCCTGGTTTGCTAGGTCCTGGTTTGTTTGGAACTGAGGGGTTTCCTAGGGACTTTCAGGGCCCAAACAAGCAAAGTCCCAGGCAAAGTGGGACCAAATCAGTCACCCGAAAAGGTTTCTTGCCTCCCTTAGGTGTGGTTTCTCTATGGTTTGTGTTTTCTTACTTATTTCTTCTGACCAAAGGAGTGGTTAAAGCTCCAAAGCTAAAGTCAGAAAGTAGCCTCAGAGAAACAAGTTTCTAGTTTGGGTCACTGAGGTCTGCCTACTTTGGACAAAAGGAATTTGTAGTCTAACCCATTTGGCGACTACACTAAAGTTTGGAGTGAAAGCCCAAGCTAGTAAAGTGTTTCTTTGTCTGAATCTGTTCTTCAAGCACTTATCTCCCTATGGGGTGAAGGTAGGAGGAAAGGGAACTGTGGCTGTTGTAGATAGTAGGTAAAAAATTCTAGGATTTGTAATTCCGATTGTGTATATTTCCTCCTCAGAGACAAAAGTAACATCTAATAGTAGTGTTAAATTATTTTCTTCTTTATTGTTTTTCTTCATTTTAAATTAAGGGAAAAAGCTTATTATAAAAAGTTCAAACCTTAAAGAAGTATACAAAATAAACTCTTCCACAGCCTTCATATTTATAAAAGATACATGTACATATTTTTAAACTTTTAATTGAAATATAACATACAAAAAAAGTGTACAGTTTGATGAGTTATCAAACTGGAGGTTTTAGGAATTTTTTAGAATGCTCTATGTGTCCTGGGTTATGGTGACATTGGTTTATACAGCTTGTGATCATTCATAGGAGGTAAATGGCTAGAAGTGGGCATTAGGGAGTGCTTCAGGACCTTTGGAATGTTCTGTGTTGACCTGGGTGATGGTTTATGGGTTTATTTTAACCAACTGTATAGTATTCCCTTGTATAAATATTCTGTGATTCATTTAACTAATCCTTAATTTTAATTTATGGTCATTTATGTTTTTTATAATTTATTAGTATATTTAAGTAATAACATACATTTATCTTTGTTTTTGCAAGTATTTCTGCAGGAGAGAATCTTAGAAGTGATAAATTGGTGGATCAAAAGTATGTACATTTTATTCATTATTT